AAACCCTTTGGCGCTATATTAATCGATGTAATGTAATGATGTATTGGAGGATATAAGGGCAAATCATCTTGAGATACGGTAGGTGCAGAGAGGAGACTTTGATTGAGTACTTTGGCTGCTGTGACAGGGAGTTGATGTTCTGGAGAGGTGTGTGAAGAATCTGAGACATAAGATACAACTGAGTGCCATGGCTGTGGCATGCTCACATTGTTTTTCCAAAACTTCAATTTCTGCCTTTTGATGTGTGGCTTCAGCTTCTTTCTCTGCTTTCTGATGTGCAGCCTGAGCCTCCATTTGTGCGGCCTGAGCCTCTATTTTTGCTTTCTGATGTGCAGCCTGAGTCTCCATTTGTGTGGCCTGAGCCTCTCTTTCTGCTTTCTGATGTGTGGCCTGAGCCTCCATTTGTGCAGCCTGCGCCTCCATTTCTGCTTTCTTATGTGCGGCTCGAGCCTCCATGTCAGGGCCTGTACTTGAACCTGGGACTTCTACTAGTGTCAGGCAGTAACTCTACTTACTGAGCTACCTAGGATGCTGGACAACACTTTGCCTCATCTATTGGATAATCCTGCCTTGTTCCTTGTTTGCTCTTGAACCTTGAACTCCTTGCTCCTCCCATGAACTTCCTATATAAGCCATGTCCTTGGACTTCCTCCTTGCCAGATTATTGTGCCTTTCCAGCCAATATCCCGCTACTGTTCCTGCTGCTGTCTACACCTCCGCTACTGATCTTTGGCTTGTTCCTGACCACGATTTCGTCTCATCCTAACGTACTACGATTGATCTGCTACCATTTGTGACCGACCCTTGGCTTGTGACCGACTCTGCTTTCGTCTGATCCCTAACCTGTTGATCCGCTATTGGTTCCCAGTCTGCTCATTCCCTGGTGGGGTGATCCTGAGATCTGCGACCTGGTATTAACACGCAGCCCAATCCATCTCCACCATTAGGAGCTCTGGTGAATACCGGTTAATACTTAGACCCCGCACCTCAGGTGAGCCTGCGTCATTCCCAGGGGGATCCGCTGGTGTACCTATCCTGCTGGTTCCAGGTAAGCCTTTTACTGCTATAGCAACTGGTCTCTGAACCTGACCTTACACCGTGACACTCCATTTCTGCGGCCTGAGCCTCCAATTCTGGTTTCTTTTGGGCGAAAGCTGCCTGAATTTTAGAAGCTTCAGCATCAACACGGGCTTTTATTAGTTGTTGACTGAGTGTAGAAGACCTTGTATGTATGGATTTGCAAGATCTTGAGGAGAATCTAGTAGATGAAGAGCGATAAGATCTGGATTCATGTACCTGTGTTATTCTCACTTCTGCCTTTTGTCTTTGTTCGCACCACTAAATTGTCTCTTTCAAGATTGAGCTCCTCAAAACTCATTAATTCTAACAATATGACCTTTGAGTGTTGTACCGCTTTAATAGAGCAATATATTTAACACACAGACTTTGATAATTCTCATAAGCAACATTCAATTGCTGGATAGCGCCCTCTAGTCGTATTGGCTCATGAGATTGTTGGGAGAGAGCAGACGTGCATTTAACAGTACTAGACCATAAGTCATTAATATTAGACAGCAATTCTAACTTGTCAGCATCAGGATTTTCTTGCACTTTCCAGGTTGGATTTCTTAAGCGTTTTTCTCTTTTATCTAAATCTTGCTCTGGATGAAGCTCTGATTGTGGTCATGTATTAGTTTCCCCAGACTGTATATTACTTTCCTGAAACATCATGTTAGCAAGGAGAGGGGTTGATAGAAAGTTTACAGAGAAATGTATTACTTTTTCTGTGGGTGAGTTCAGGTTTCCTAGGCAATGATTGCACAAAGGTTTTCTTTTTCTTTCTTATAAGTTCACACCAGGAACAGACTGACAACTCATGGGGCCCCCGGGCAATAGGGGATCATGGGGCCCGTGTCCTTGCCCACATTCAAAAAAAGCCTATAAAAGGTACCAGGGGCATTTCATGGGACCCCCTACTGACCCCGAGCCCTCGGGCAGTGCCCAAGTGCTCAAATTGTCAGTCCGCCCCTGGTTCACACACAATCCATGTGGTAATGCATACAGATGCAGTGTATAAACTTGCAGTTGTAAAACATTCACATCAATAATTTGTCCTGACACTGATGAGTGTGTTATGCTGGGATATACTTGGAGACATGTATAGACTTGTGTAGAGATGGCTGCACTCTCTATAGCTGTTATATCCAGTATCAATATAACATCTCACTGTGTATTGTAGCTAGCAAGGATTCTATGAAGCCTTCCACAGATCTTTTGACTAGCCAGGATCCTATGAAGCATTCCACTGATGTTTTGACTGTTCTGTCTCTCTAAGCATTGATAGTGTGATCTCTGTAACTTACAGTTGTGATGAGATAGCGATAACTTCAACCTCAGTTGGATAACACAGTCAGTGACTCAATCGATAAGACATCTTGTAGATCTTGTGAAGTTTATTCCATAAACTGAGAGAATCTTACAACAATGAACATTCAATAGGTCAAAAGATCATAATGTGATCTACTTCATGACATGAGGCTAGAGCTGAAATGCATCTCTGGGAAAGGGGGAGGGCTATCTATACAGCATTAACTAAACCAAAGGAAAGGGAGGAGCATGCACAAATATAGAAACACTTAAAGGCATATGATAGTCAAAATGAGAGTCATGTGAAACATGACATTGGTGATGGTGGACTCTCCCAGTCTATTGGAATTTTTTGGGGAATTTATTTGATATCCATATATTTTATTATAAAGGCATTTATTTTTATTTATGCCGGACACTATTGGACTTTTATTTTATTAATTTATCTGTAGCGCCGCACCTTTGTGTTCTATACAGTTCAATTTTATGCCTGTTTACTTGTGTCAGTGGAGACACATCATAATGTGAGTGTACTAATTTTAAAAAATAAAAGAAATGTTTTAAGGATCCTATGCTATGCGAGTTTTTTCTCTCCTCCTCCCTCATAAAAAATTGGTGATTGTGGCACTGCATACTATACAGGTGATTGTCAGATCTTGCTGGGTCTGCAGATTATTACTCCTAGAGGGGAATGTGCTTCATGCTGGTCTTAAATGATACTCCCATATTCAGGGTATAACATGTAAATGTTACGATCAGACCGGCCCCCGGCCCCCGCTCCCTGCTTTGACAGCTACCAGGGAATCTTCTCTCCCTCTCACTAGCTGTCAAATTCTTAAAAAACGTGGTCATGCGGGGCTCCACCCACACTGCTGCATCGTTCATTCGCAGTTATCTATGAATGAGAGACTACAAGTCCCGGCAGCCTTAGTGGCTGTCAGCTTGTAGTCCTCAATGAACCAACACAGCACTGTGAAGCACCATGGTAGTTCATTCACTCTTCCTGTCAGTATATCTGCTTGCTCATACATCCGGTGCGGCAAGCAGATATACTTATAGTTCTGCAGGAGACCTGCATGACACCAGTGATCTGCTGATTTCTGGTGCAATGCTTTCTATGCTCCTGCAGACAAAAAATAATAAATGAACATTTTTTTACGTGCAAAAAAATGTGCATGTATTATTTTTTTTCTAAAAGGTGAATTTACATCCTTTTTTCCCCACGAATAGAGATTTCTTTCGGTGGTATTTGATCGCCTGTGCGGTTTTTTTTTGTGCTAAAAAAAAAAAAGACTGAAAATTTTGAAAAAAAAAAAACAATATTTTTGACTTTTTGGTATTAAACATGTCCAGTAAAAAAATCCAATTTCCTCATAAATTTAGGCCAAAATGTATTCTGCTACATCTTTGGTAAAAAAAAATCCCAATACGTGTAAATTAACTGGTTTACGTGAAAGTTATAGCATTTACAAATGGCGGTATACAGTATATACTGGGCTATTTTTTAATTATATTTTTAATTTTTACTAGTAATCAGCACTGGGACTGTGGCACTGTGGCAGGCATTCTGACACTGGAGGGAACTGACTTGGTGTCACTGACATCCCCAGTGACACCAATACAGTGATCAGTGCTAATAAAAAGCAATGACACTGTACTAATGACACTGGGCATGAAGGGGTTAACACGTGGAGCGATGAAAGGGTTAATTGTGTGCTGTTTTACTGTGGACTGTGTGTGTGCTTTCAACTGTATGCACACTGCTTTGCATGGCTCTGCTATGCAGAGCCATGCAAACCAGTGTGTAGGAGCTGTGTGCTGTGCTTGTGCTTGACTATAAGCACACTGCTTTGCATGGCTATGCTGTGCACAGCCATGCAAAGCAGTGTGCAGGAACTGACAGGGAGGAGAACTGTTTTGTTTACTAACAGTTCTCTCCCCCGTTGGAGATCCTCGGCAATCACCGGGCGCTGGAGAGTAATCACCGGCTGGGACCCGGTGATTGACAGCCGCAGCAGCTGCGAATGGCGGTGTAGGTAGGGCGTGTGTGTGCATGACGCGCGCCCCCTACCCAGAAATGCAAAATCACGTACAGTCAGGTCCATAAATATTGGGACATCGACACAATTCTAACATTTTTGGCTCTATACACCACCATAATGGATTTGAAATGAACAAGATGTGCTTTAAACAATGAAATGAACAAGATGTGCTACACCGTTCACCTGATTTGGATATAAATACCCTCAAATTAAAGCTGACAGTCTCCAGTTAAAGCACATCTTGTTCGTTTCATTTCAAATCCATTGTGGTGGTGTATAGAGCCAAAAATGTTGCAATTGTGTCGATGTCCCAATATTTATGGACCTGACTGTATATATATGTGATTTTGCGCACAGCTGCTGCCCTGTAGCAGTATTTCTGCTATGGGGTGAAGCTGAAGCAGTCAAACACACCAACATTTACTCTTGGTGAGTTCATTTAGTATTTCATGGTGGTGGATTTCACATTGGTGTTGGTGGAAGAAAATAAGAAATAATAAAAAGTATAATAAATAATAAGTAAAATAAAAAGTAATAAAAATAATAAAAAAATGTATTGGTTATTTGAATCAAGTTATCACAATGTGGCTGTCTGACTATTTATGAATGTGCACTGACTTTTTTCATAGATATTGCACATATTTGTTGGTTGCGCATTGATCATACACACATTGAATTTTATTGATTGATTGAGTTATGCTTATACGTATTGTATACAGTGCATTTATTTATTTTAGTAGTGTTAAGTTTGTACACGTTGCATATTATTTTGCACATATGTTTGACAGATATTGAAATCTTTACAGGGTAGTGCAGTGCTAACTTTTGATATTTTCACAAGTTGCCAGTCATAGTTTTAGTCATATTGTGAGGATAACTCTTTTTTGCATTTCATGTTGATTTCAATTGCTGACTTTGCTTGTCCTGACATTGCTACAATTCCACCTGTCTTATCTTCTGTATTTTCTGAACACATGTTTGCCCCTTGCTCTGGCTTTAAAATGTGGCTCTGGTTATTCCTGGCAATGACTTTTGTCAGCACCTTCTGAGTGCACTTCTGTCTCTTCCTTTGGCACTGACTGCAGGTTATGACCTCTAGCCTGTCTAATGTTCGGCTACTGGAGACACCTGAATACCAATGCATGCACATAATGCACCCTAGAAAGGTGGCTATTATCGGTGAAGTGCCCACAACAGTGATTATCTGCTGTTAAAAGAGATTATATTCTCAAACTTGGGTGATATATTTAACAACTAGGTAGACATTCAGGGCCTACTGGTATAAACAAAAGAAACAACTGATTTTCATGGTACTTCACCCTTTTTTGTCTGAATTGCAGTAATACAGCTAAATATACTGATGACATACATCTAATTAGCACTTTTATTTACCAAGGATTATTATTTGTGTCCATCCATTTTTGGGATTTACATAGTACAGCTTTATCTGGCAGGGCAAACACCTGATTTTAATTTGAGTTAAAGCAGAACTAAAGGCAGCTTTTATACTCACCTTTCTTCTGAGGGAATTGTCCCTCTCCATTACTGACATCTGCCCTTGTGTGCCAGTTTTCAGCCACATCCATTGGACGGTGCAGGATGATGTCACTGCACATGCACACTGAGGATCGGGTAGGGCTCTGTGAGCTGAGCTGCTCATGCGCAGCTCAGTTTACATTCTGGGGACACTTAGAACCAGGGGACCAGGGGCGGACTGACAACTCATGGGGCCCCCAGGCAATAGGGGATCATAGGGCCCCTGTGTCCTTGCCCACACTCAAAAAAGCCTATAAAAAAAGGTACCGGGAGCATTTCATGGGGCCCCCTACCGAGTGCTCGAATGGTCAGTCCGTCCCTGCTTAGAACAGACAGGTAAGTGTATTTTATTACAGAAGAGACATTACATGCCTTTGTTGTAGAACAGGGGTGTCAAACTGGCAGCCCTCCAGCTGTTGTGAAACTACAAGTCCCATCATGACTCTGCCTCTGCCTTTGGGAGTCAAGCTTTTATATGTCAATTTTGCAATGCCTCATGGGACTTGTAGTTTGGTAACAGCTGGAGGGCCGCCAGTTTGACACCCATGTTGTAGAACTACTCCTTTTGCCTGATATATCACCAATTAGATTAAAGGGATTCTAAAGGTTCTTTTTTTTTGTGGAAAATAACAAACATGCTATACTTACCTGCTGTGTGCAGTAGTTTTGCACAGAGCAGCCCGGATCCTCCTCTTCTAGGGTCCCCCGCAGGCTCTCTTGGACCCTCCCTCCTATCGGATGCCCCCACTGCAAGCAGCTTACTATGGGGGCACCTACTCTGTGTGTCTATTAACACATGGAGCTGCGGCTTGGCCCCACCCCTCTTTTCTCATTGGCTGACTGGCTGTGATTGACAGCCGATGGCTCTTGCTTGCTGTCTCAACCAATGAGGAGGCAGAGACCGGGGACAGCTGAGGCTGTTGATCACATCGCTGAATCGCGATGAGACTCGGGTAAGTATTGAGGGGGCTGGGGGCACTGCTGCACACAGAAGGTTTTTTTACCTTTTTGGGCAGCACAGTGGCTAAATGGTTAGTACTTCCTCCTGGCAGTACTAGGGTCGCTGGTTTGAATCCCAACCACGGCACCACCTGCCTGGAGTTTGCATGTTCTCCCTGTGCCTGTGTGGGTTTTCTCTGGTACTCCGGTTTCCTTTCACACTCCAAAAACATGTTAATTGGATCCTGTCTAAATTGGCCCTAGTATATGAATGTATGAATGTAAGTTAGGGACCTTAGATTGTACGCCCCTTGAGAGATAGGGACTGATGTGAATGTACAATGTGTAAAGCGCTGCGTAAATTGATGGCGCTATATAAGTACCTGCATTAAAATAGATGCATAGAAATAAAAAATCCTGAGTCTTTACAACCACTCTAAAGTTACCAAGGCAGGCTGGAATCTGTTTGGTGGCTGCATGAAACATCTCCAAATTACAATGATACATCAGTCATGTGAGAGATAGCAAGGAATGAACACATTTTAGCAATATTATCATTAGGCTGGCCAATTACAGAAAGGTTTGGGTTAGACCAGATTGGCATTTGAAGATAAGTCTTTCCATAAGATTATATGTATACTGCACATGTGTATTTTATTTACTTAGAAATGGCTCCTTTGTGCAGACATCCATAAGCCCTGAGACTTTTGCTGGGTGCTACCATCTTGGTAATGTCAGCAATGCCAGCAGGCTCAGTGCTGTCACTTTCCTACTAGGGCAGCTACATAAAGGTTATGTAGAGAGGTGGTGAGAGGATGGGGGATTCTATGTGCACTAACAATCACTTTAGACCTGATTAAATGGTTAACCACCTCAAGACCCCCTTCCTACAGGCCATTTTCAGTGCCGTTATAGTCTGACTAACAATTACTCATTCCTACAATAGTGTACCCTAATGAATTTTATAACATCTTTGGAGACAGATTTCTTTTAACCACTTGCAGTCCGGCCGCTGTATATAAACGGCCGGACGGTGGCAGTCCAGGGGCGGGTTGCCGTCATAATGGCACCTGCCATTATGGACTGTGCGCGCTCCCTGGGAGCGCACAGCACCATGATCCAGTGCCCGCTGTGTCCTCCGGACACAGTGGAACACCGATCGTCGTACGGGACCTCTGTGCGAGGTCCCGATAATGATCACAGGCAGAGTAGTAAGCAAGATGTCACTTCTGACATCATTGCTTACTACTTGTGAAATCTGTGAATGATCACAGCAGCCTTGTACCTGTGACAAGCTGTGACCAATCACAGCTCACACAGTAGTTCTCAAAGGCTGCAAGAATACAGACAGAGAGAAGGAGAAATTATTGCTTTTACAGACTTTATGGGTGTAAAAGCAATCAGTGTAAAAGAAAAAAAAAAATCTTCATCACCCCCCACAAGTAGTACAGTGTCACCATGTGTGTATGGCCTTAAAAATGTGACAGTTGTTTAAAGTTATCTTGATATATATCACTGAAATATGTAAATAACTGGATTCTATGTCACTATACAGTGCCTTGAAATAGTATTCGTACCACTTGAAACTTTTCCACATTTTGTCATGTTACAAACAAAAACGTAAATGTATTTTATTGGGATTTTATGTGATGGACAAACACAAAGTGGCACATAATTGTGAAGTGGAAGGAAAGTGATAAATGGTTTTCAAAAGTTTTTACAAATAAATATCTGAAGAGTGTGGCATGCGTTTGTATTCAGCCCCCCTGAATCAATACTTTGTAGAACCACCGCTAACTGCAATTACAGCTGCAAATCTTTTTGGGTATGTCTCTACCAGCTTTGCACATCTAGAGAGTGAAATTTTTGCTCATTCTTCTTTGCAAAATAGCTCAAGCTCTGTCTGATTGGGTGGAGAGCATCTGTGAACAGCAATTTTCAAGTCTTTCCACAGATTCTCAATTGGATTTAGATCTGGACTTTGACTGGGCCATTCTAACACATGAATATGCTTTGATCTAAACCATTCCATTGTAGCTCTGGCTGTATGTTTAGGGTTGTTGTCCTGCTAGAAGGTGAACCTCCATCCCAATCTCAAGTCTTTTTTAGACTCTAACAGGTTTTCTTCTAAGATTGCCCTGTCTTTGGTTCCATCCATCTTCCCATCAACTCTGACCAGCTTCCCTGTCCCTGCTGAAGAACAGCATCCCCACAACATGATTCTGCCACCACCACGTTTCATGGTGGGGATAGTGAGTTCAGGGTGATGTGCAGTGTTAGTTTTCCGCCACACATAGCGTTTTTCTTTTAGGCTAAAAAGTTAAATTTGGGCCTCATCTGACCAGAGCACCTTCTTCCACATGTTTGCTGTGTCCCTCACATGTCTTCTCGTAAATTGCAGACCGGACTTCTAATGGCTTTCTT